TTCTTAAATTAAATATAAATATGCGAAATCGTTGATTTTGTATGGGAAATGGGTGGCCCCTACTAGGGTGGCCCCAGTAAGGGTGTTTCGACTTATGTTATGGCGGCCATGTGGAACTCGGTATCCTTATGAGGGTAGAAGAGGCAGAATTTCGAAAAGTTCTTGACGAGCAACAACTGATGACCACAACTGTGGTTAACTTGAGATAAGACAGCACAGTTTTGACACATCTTGGCGGTTTTATGAATTTACTATAGGATTTTCTCGTATAACGTGTGAGGATATGTCTTCTATTTAGATTTAAAGGTCTTCAGAGTCGGCTCTTCTCACTTTTATTGATAATATAGGAGTTACTGATAATGTTTCTGGCTTGGAGAGAGGGATGATAGTTGGATTGTATATATACTAGAAGATTCCTGAAAACATATTCTTTATGCGTAATTCTAAAATAACCATATGTACTTGATCCCATTTAATCAGCTCCCATCAGAAAGGCCCTGTTCTTGTCACTAGTAACGTCTGTATGTTCAATAATAATGCTTTATGACAACGAATATTAATCTAAAAGCATTGGCTAATCTATATTTGAACAATATCTTGGTGTCAATTGACCAGAAGGCGATAGAAGCAAATTAACACAAAAGACAAACGAGCTAAGACAATGACTTTGTTGTTAATACGTGCAAACATTTTCATTTGTTTATGTCCTTCACTATTTTAGTCTCCATACTTCGGTACTTGCCTCAGGCACTTATATATCTAGGTACCTAGGTAGATATATAGATGAATAATGGTTTGGTCACCTTAGAAATGCCCCTTATGTACTTGGAAGATATATTGCAGTCGGTTTATGATAAGCACCACGTAGTGAATAACCTACCAGTCTTACGTGCCTGCTAATCAGTACCCATCTCCCATTTGCCTTCGGAAAATCTTTATAATACTTTCAATTTTCATCCTCTACTGCTGCCGCAGAAACTTAATCCTTCTGCTCGGCTTATAATGTTACTATGGCCGGCAATCTAGGAATGTATAAGATATTTATATCGCAAGCAGCTCAAGTATTTCAGTTACTTATCTAATGTTTGACCGGGAAGTCTCTTACGAAAATTAATGGTGCGGTCTTAACATATAACCTTCTCTTAAATTTCAACAATTACACCAACATAACAAGAATACGTAGAACATAATATATATTATTTTATTTGTAAGAAATTCTTATATTTGTTCATATTTTTTACTTTTTAAACAACTAAGTATTGCGGTTATGAAATAAGTTGAAACGTAATATAATGTATGACTATGTTGGAATATGGGGAATAGCCAATTATGTAATCTAGTCACGTGCCACCACGTGCGTGGAGCTAAACCTAAAAGGGCTTACCTTTTAGGCTAACCCACACACACAACTCAACCATAGACAACAACAGATCGTGATAGCCTCATTTCAGTATTGTGTGTTTCCTTTCCTTTCAACGTACGCTTATTGGTGTACACCTAATCCTTACCTAATCGTTACCCCTACCTGGTCACCCGACAGACTATTTTATGTAAATTTCTATTATGAACATAACTTTATTAATATTAAAGCTATGAAATTATAAAAAGCACCTTTAAAAATTAAAATGGTATAAGAATGAAGAAATGATTTCCTCCAATTTCTATAAATTTTTTAAAATGGCTATTTTAAATAAAAGATGTAGTGTTGTTTCTAGAGAGAAATGCCAAGACCGCGCCATTTTTCGCGGGGAGCTGCCGGGATGCGTTGGTTGCCGTTTTGTACACAACCGGTCTTTGTTCCGGCCTATCGGCGCATCACACATTAGCTATTCCCGCCAAGTCAGCGATCATTCCCCGCAGAACGATTGTCCTAAGCTAGGCGATGATGACGTGATCACGATTGATATGGCGATATACTGTACTATCATCAGTAAGAGGTTAGATAGGTACCTAACGTAGGCAACTTTTGAATTCGTATCCGAGCAGGAATGAGGGCTATCTAGAAACCGGAATTGCTCATAAAGCTCTTGCGTCATTTTCAAAGTTTAGAAAATTGTATAAGAATCCTCCGAGGTACTGACTTTAGATATAGGTGGCTAAATCATATATCTCTAATTGGAGGCGTTAACTTCATTTCACTATTATCGTCTTCTAGTTTCAGCAATAAATATGACTTCAACTCAGAAAAATCTTGCGAGCAAGAATGCTGAATATGCTAGCAAGTTCACTAAAGGCGATCTTGCCCTTCCGCCAGCTAAACACTATCTAATCTGTACGTAAAACCCTTTACAATAGGGTTATATGAGGGCTATACTACAAGCAACTGGGAGCTGACTCATGCAAAGTGACCTGTATGGATGCTCGTATCGACCCGGCCGCCGCCTTTGGTATCGACCTTGGTGATGCCCACGTTATTCGAAACGCTGGCGGTAGCGCAAGAGATGCTCTACGATCAATCATCATCTCGCAGCAACTACTTGGGACGAAAGAGATCGTACTTATAAAGCACACTGGATGCGGCATGTTAACGTTTTCCAACGATGATGCTCATGGTCTCGTGAAGAAGAATTTAGGACCAAGCGCCGCTGCAGAAATTGCCACCCTCGATTTCCTCCCCTTCACCGATTTAGATAACGCTATAGAGGGAGACGTTGAGTACTTAAAGAGGAGCGCCGCTGTGCCAGACAACGTGGCTATTAGCGGTTGGGCATATGAGGTTGAGACCGGCACAGTGAAGCAAATCGTATGAAAACATTTATAGGATATTGTCAAGTGAATGGATATATAGAGCTGAAATTGGTTTAACAATAAAAGGTTAGGTACCTTAGGTACCTAGGTTTTAATAAATTATATAGTATATATATTGTATATACACGGCTCCTCTGAGCTGTACTCGCATATCCCATTATATTACAGAAATTGAAGTGAACATGGGCGGCAAAGACTTACCCAGATATCAGGCAGAAAATCATGGTGCGGTGCGGGGTTTACTTGAAATAAATCTCAGCGAGGCACCTACAGGTACTGGACTGTTGGCCGAAGTCAAGGCCTTGTAAATAAGATAATACAATGCGAATAATATTTATTAGAAGCTTCCGGAGGCAATGGAGATAAAGTTTAAAAGCAGCATGGGCTTGCTTTATATTCAGCAATCTTGAATTTTTTCTCTATCTACTTAGCCTCTTACCGAACCATATTCATGAAGGCCTAATAACCTATATCAATGAAAAGAGCGCCAAAGAGGCTTCGGCCGACCCACATGCCTATTTGCACTGACTTGGAGAGATCTCTTGCCTAGAGATCCAAACAAGGGACCCGAAAACTAGTGCTTATCCGTCTACGAGGTATTAACGTATCGGAAGATAGTATTCATAGGTATTAAATCTCCATTGAATTTATCTAAACTCAAGATCAACCATTAAAACAGATGCCGATCGAGCCATTGGCGGAATCAGATCTAGAAGAAATGTTGGTAGCGAGGTTTAGTTCGATGGGGTAGATTTCAGTCCCCTGATCGGATCTCTTGGGGATAAACGGGTAGATAAGGCAATTGCTCCCTTATTAATGTGGAAAGCATCTTGTTATGGAGTAGAGGAATGCATGAGATGAAAGACATCTTTGAAGAAGGAGAAATGCTATGTACCTAGACGAACTATGGGCGTTATCCAAACACTTCCCCACCTTCCGAAATGGGAGTGACCGGCCAATGAGATCGATGCAATCCCCGCACAAGAAAGTTAGCTAGGTTAATACCATTAACTAAGACCTTCTACCGTTTCGAAGATGCCTATCAGTCGAAGGCCTGAACCGGTAGACAACAAGTAGGGGTGTCGACATGGGTAAGTGATAAAACGTCCTATTAACATTCATTTCATCAGATATCCAATCACTTGAAACCCATTCTTGCCCATGGGATAGTCTTTGCCTCATAGGCTGCAACCCACCGTCGAGACGACCGTAGAGATAATTTTAAGAGGATCACTTGTTGGACAGTTGTACTATAGATTGACGAATTGAATCGATGAATATATCTGTCATTAGAGGCTCGAAATAATTTATTACCAACTTCAGAAGAGCCTTGATTTATCTACGGTGTTGTGGCGGGTCGAATATGTAGGTAGCGGATTGAAGTGTTTAAACTGCGTGTGTGATCGTAAGTGCGCCAGATACTCTACTACATGGAGGTGACTTAGTATAGGAGGTATTAATCCATCTGGATTAATTCTAGATAGTGTAGAACACGTCATGAGGTGGAGCAAGAAGCAAGGAAACAATTTCGTTGTTCCACGAGGAACTCTAAATTAACTATAGGAGCCTGCGGCGATCCATACTAAGAGTACCGTTTGTTCTAGATGTCTTGCCTATAATCCTAACAGAACGGATGGCTTCTTAGGTGCAGGATATAATGGGGGTAAACCTTAAGGGGTTGCGTTTCTACATAACCTTTCAAGGAGAAATGTTACTTAACCACATCATCTAGATGTTATAAAGCCAGTTTCAGACACGTACTTAGTGTAGGAGGGTTTTCTGAAGGTGGCTAGAACGAAAGAAGAAGGTGATCTTCCATAACAGGGCTCTCATTCTACTAGAACAGGTAGCTCTTCTATATCTTATTCGAAAAGAAGCTTTGAGGGGTTTGGAGTATGTCCTCTTCACGCCATGCACTTAGATATACGCAAGCGCTGATAATCCTACCTAGGTAAGTACCTATATTTATTGTCGTATGTTCTACCGACGTACTGAACTGGTGCTGGGGTATCAGGTGACTTTGACCCTGATCATGTGATTATATTTTAGTATAAGTACCATTTATGGTCGCACACGCCCATTTTACATAGTATCATCCACTTTTAATACAAGTCATTCCTTTTCCTTCATCATCTTCATCATCTAAAAGTCCTTGATATCAGGTCTAATAAGGCTTGATCCAAGGCCAAGACTTCTAAGTCTTGTTCAGTACCGAGGTAATTGATGAAACGCGCATCGGCGGACCAGGTTGGGTCAAGCTCTTGGTTACTAGCCTAGGCGCGGTAGTGCGGGGAGTACTATTACATCTGCGATACTAAATATTGCGTGGCCGAAATATACGCCGGCCTCACCGATCGATGTAACAGCATGGGATAATGTTTCAAGATGGCATATTAGTTAGATCGAATATTTCGTATAAGATAATGACTAATAGGTAATAGGTGGTAGGCATTACAAATTACATCATACCATACCACTCAGGGCTTAATAATCGCTCAGGACTTCATATTTTGGTCGTATCCTTAACTCGCTTCATATACGAAGAGTGAGTATAAAAGCAGCTCTGGAAGACCTCAAGTTCTTAGAATCATCTTCCATTGCAGCTTCTTTCACACTCCTCAATAATTAAATAAGATTCATAGACTATCTTCACAGCTTTGAAGCCAAAATGGCTACCACTGCCGACAAATCTAAGCCCTACTTTCCCCTAGCTGGCCTTGCTAATGACGGCTGGTCCAAAGAAGACGAAGCAACGGCAACATGCTTCTGTGGTGCAGTACAGCTTGCATTTGTAAGCCGTTTCCATAAGCTATAGCTTTGACATGCACAACGCCCGTTCTGAAGATATCCTTGCTAACACCACCATATCCGCAGCCAACGCAAGGTCCAGGTTACATCCGTACATTTGTGTGTAATTGCAACGACTGTCGTAAAATCACGGCATCTATGTTCGCGACCAACTTCACGATTCTGGACACACACTTGAAGCATATTCGTGGGCGTGACAACCTTACGAAATTCGGCCCCCAAGCACATACTATCGCTTCAGGCAAAGGCATGGCTAACTACTTCTGCTCAACGTGTGGTACGCTCATGTACCGCGTTGGAGAGGCCTTCCCAGGCATGAGCATCTTGCGCCTGGGTACTGTCGACGATTTTCACTTACACGAGACCAAGATGCGACCCACGGTAGAATACTTCGTTGAGAGCCGCGTGGGATGGCTTAAGGGTATTGAAGGAATCAGGAAGTTTAAGGGGCTTCCATCCCTCTGACATGGAGCTTACCGTTCCCTAGTACATCATCTTGTAGACGGGTCGTCCCATAAAAGGAACTGATGGGGTTAATTCTACTAGAAGGTTTCCCATTACCTATTATATAACAGGCAGGTACCTAATATAGCGAGAATAAACTGTTTGTATTAAGTTATCGTAAAGGAAATAGGGCGCATTGTAATGCTGTCTAATCATTGTCAGTATTATGAGTGGACATTGCAGCAACTCTTTCTGGGGGCTTCGATGCCTTAATAAATTATGAATCTTAGCACCTCATGGAGGGAAGAAAACACTGAACGAGTTGAAGTTTTGGAGTGAAAATCTCTCAAGTACTAAATATTCTTGGGAACAAGCTCATCTTCGAGAGAGTTATATACGCAGTATACTGAACCATTATCAACATCCTCTCTTAATTTTTCCTCGTATCAACGGACCCCTGGTGCCTACATATCTAAATTCGATAGATAGCACCGCTAAGATGTGCCTTCTGGGTTCAACTGGTAACACTTATCCGTTGGGATTCTCTCGCCTTGGTCCCACTAGAATAGGTTGTTAGGTCAATGCACGCCTGCCTGTAAGTAATTCAAAAGACTTACATGTTCGTGAACGCATCCATCAAGCCAGAGCCACCTGTCCGTAGTCGAATATTGGGCGTATGACATATTCGTGCTAGCATCGAAACACCAAGCCGTATTTTGTTCGCTTCCAAGCTTATTTCCGCTGCAAAAAATACCCCAGATGTTGTTGGGCCCAGACGCGTACCCTGGATGGTGTTGCTATGATATAGTAATTAGCACCGATGCCTGTCTGCTACTAATATATGAGATATGTTTGAGTTAAAATAACGACTAACTTTATAAACTGAATCTATCAAGGAAAACATCTTTCTAGGATCTCCATCAACTACGAATGCACGATAGAAATCATAAGCTCTCTGTGCTGTCTCTTCTACGGTGACAGAGGGATCCGGTTGGCAGAGAGCAGGGGGAGTCTTTAAATTGCATAGGTTTTCTCTCTTGATGAGAGCGTCGTCGTGTGCAACTGGGGCAGCAGTGCTAATAGTGGGTGCTAGGACGCCAGCAGAAAGAAATAGCAAGAAACGCATTTTCGTAGTAGTGGGTATGCGAGTTCTAAACATGGTATATTCCTAAATCTCATGGGGTAAGAAGCGACTATATATTTCTAATTTGGAGAGACTTTACGTATAGTAGGCCGTGGTTTTCTATATCAACGCGGGGAAATACCTAAAACCAAGATTATTTATTAGTTTAGCCGCCTCGATTTCAATTTATACAAATCTATATAGATCGTCCGAATGAAACCTAACCACATTCACACATGTAAATGATTGGTTATGGTAAATCCCTTATGATGTATCATGGTGGATAAAGTTTGCTGTTTAAAGACTCCAATCGGAATCGTTTTTGAAATCTTGGGTGCTGCCATTTATGTGATATGTCGTCGCGTTCATACGTTGATGAGATTGAGCACCACGTAGTCTCTTGTTAGAGTAAGGTAAGGTATCTTTGGTTGGCGAATGATTCAGTTCTCAAATCGCTCAATTGACGTGGATTCTGTGTTGGAAATGATGGCGGTATGAACGACGTCACTACTAATCTGAGGTAATTGCACGCTCATAGAACTTCGGCTGGAATATTTTGAGGTTTCAAAGTAAGTCAAACCACCCTTACTGGGGCCACCCTAGTGGGGGCCACCCATTTCCCATACAAAATCAACAACTTCGCATGTCTATAATTAATTCAAAA